TCGTCACGGTTAGTCGCATCAACACCCCCAACCGCACCGGAACCATGACAGTGTAGTGCGTGATCTCGACACGTTAACCATTACACCACATTGCCACGACTGTCCTCGGGTGGGTCACAGGCCCGATATTTTCGATATCACATTTTGTGGTCGGATTGTCGATGAAACAAAGTTGTATTTGCGATGGCAATTGACAACGTTACCTACTTTTCGTCTTTAACACCACCACCAATAGATCATTTTTATATGAATTGCAATCACGGTACTTCATTTAAGTCTCAAAAACCTACTTTTAAAACAAAAGAATGTTATTTATTGGTTCGCCCACGAAATGCTGGCCAGATTTGGGCATTTCGGCTGGCCCTTAGGAATGAGTATATTTCTGTCAGAGGACTCGGTTACTGATCAAATAGGACGTCTAACAATAACCCGTCCTTGAAGTGAAGACGCCGAGCCGACCAACCTCGGAGAATGGGATCCTTTTCTTTTAGCCCTCTTGGTGGGCGCCAGGTCTGGAGCAGTTTTCCCAACTGGAACAAGGCTAGATTGTAATCGTATTTGCTGGAGTCCGAAGAAGGTGCAATAGTCAAAACAGGAATATTTTCACAGAGTCCCAAAGAAAATCGCCCAGAGTGTTCCGAAGCTGAGGGTCTACAAAGACCTTTTTCAAAAGTTCTCACAAAGTGCTAGCCTAACAGTAGAATATGAAGATAAGCTGACTTTCGAAGAGGATATTCCATAGTTGTATCTTCTGAGGCCGGGCCACTCGTATGTGACCAAATCACGTTCGTGCATCCTCGACGGTGCTGATTATTCAGTGTTTCTGAACGACTATTTTATCGCAGTAATCTAAAACAAGTATGTCTGTTTTTGCATATGTATGTATCTAAATATATATATATATATATATATATGTTTGTGTGTGTGTGTGTGTGTGCATGGCTTATATCTTGCCGCCAGAAGCAGGAAGAGATTTCCCTATCATTTGCTAAACGTTTCTATTGTGGCATGACCTTTGATTTTGAACGTAAATTTGATTAGAAACACTGCGTGGATCGGTCTTATGCGAAACCGAAAGAGGATTATCGCAAATTTTCTCGCTCACCGTTCTTCAACCACGACGGACTTGTTTGCATAATCCTTCAGTCCTTACTCCACTTGGCAGAAATCTTTCTTCCGTTTCCGGTGAGGGTAATTCATGAATTTCTTCCAACCAATCAACTGTCCCCTCTCAACGAAAATTCGTGCCACAATAAATCACTAATAAATTGTTGCTAATCCTATTTTTATTCCTCTATACCAAATGTTTCTATTGTCTGTAGGACAAAGGGAGCCCAGTTTCTATTCGATTGAGTTTCTGCTGCTAATACTGGCTGCACGGCGAGTCGAGTTGCCATGGGAAAAAGTATCGGCCGGAATCGAGGCCGGCCGCAGGCTCATAAGGATCAGAGAGTGGGGAAGCCTACTTTGAAGATTGGGTTTTGGCATGCAAGCCCCAATCGGTTGGTACCAGCTCGCCTTCGAGGGGGGTGGGTAGAGTTTGCTGTAGAAGTGACAAATGGCGCTCAGCATAACAACCGATCTGGCCAGTCCGTGCAGACCGGGGAGCCGGTCGGGATCCGCTAAAAGACGACTGTGAAGTCCTCTCGACCTATTTCCCGAAACGTTCTGGTTGCGCGATTCCTTTAAAGAAGGAGATCGTCCTTGGAATGGCCTCATTCACAAGGCTCCAGTAAAGTTGGGACCGGATCTGACATTGAATTGTGGCAAGATTGAATTCCCACGACTCTCTTTCTCGCACACACTTTCACCCGAAACGGAAGTGAGCAAAACATGCCTATTTCAAGTGGCTCTGCAAAAGACAACTCTGCTTCTAGCACATTGGGCAGACAGTTTGTCTACGCTTTTCCGGTTGCAGATTTATGTGCCACCAGTTGGACTCGATCAGTCGGGAGGTGGACTTTCGGAAAATGGCTGCCGGTTCGATGTCTTCGATGTTGCCTCACGCAATCAAGCTCTTCTCTCTCTACCATTTAAGTGAATTGTAGCGCTTATCATTCATCTTGGCCCCTGAAATACATAAGAAGCATACTCTGTATCTTCTAACGGGTTGAAAATTGGGCGGAATGTGCCCAAAATCAGAAGGTAGGCCTCGTGAAGCCATTATAACCTTACTTGGCCTTATCTCCCAAAAGGTATTCTCGTTCGGGCCGGACTAGACTAGACTACAGTTCTGACTTTGTCTCAACTGGTTTCATCAACACCCCCAACGTGAATCGAGCCCCGATAGTTCAGTGCTTTATATTGTCGACATGCCACCACTTCACCACAACACCACGAGTGCCAGCGAGCCACAGGCTAGACACATCACATTTTGTAATGGGATTGTCCATTAGTAAAACGTCTATTTTAAGCATTTCCATAGGCTGCACTACTTAAATTAAGATCGAGTAGGCCTCAACACTACCAGCAGATGTTGAATAAGAGCTATATTCATCCTAGATCGCATAATTTGACGAAGGAATGATAAGGGCAATATTTAATATGCTGATCACTTGTTATTTAAAATGTGCTGGTAGTTTGGTGACTTACTCACTTTGAATATAAGTAGTCTAGATGAGTGTAATGACGATTGCTTGTTTGTTTGTCTGTCAATCCCACTAAAAAATGAAGTATGAACGGGGCGTGGCTTGCCTTAAAATTAACTTTTGCCCTCTGACCCATTGGCACTCGTGGCAGTTTAGCGTAGTGGCGATAACACGTGGAAATGATATGTTCTACTTGCCGAGCTCGACTTTCATTTCGTGCGCTGAGGAGACAAGTTGGGACGAGGCAGGCACTGCCGCCCAGTCCCGTTGGCTGCGATGATAAAGCCTCTTGGCAGGTGAGGTTATATCAAATTCACTGGCACCTTGCGACCCACTCGTCTGGCTGTGGGGCAGCTCTTCTGGCAGTCCGTCATCCCCTTTCGCGGCCGCGGGTGGATACAGCTCTTACTCAGGCCCTACTGGATGTTCATACAAGTTTCCAGCTCCACACGACTTGGTATGCTCCACAAGGTCTCCTTGTCGCTTCAATCAGGTTGCGAATGTGACCTGAAGCCAACAATATGCAAATTAAGGAGACTGCGATCGTACCAACGCCGCACCAACCTGGTCTTCACGCCAAGAATGGGCTCGCTTGAGCCAACTTAGGCGATTTAGGGGGACAATATTCTTATTCAAGAAACACACATAGTCCTGAGGCATACTTATGTCGAAAATGAGTAATGTTGTTGATCGAGATGGCATACAGATCCTTGTTAAATCTAAAACACATTTGGTTAATAAAGGTGAGTTAAGAAGGGCCAAGCTGGTCTTGAATGTCGCTTCGTCCCGGTTACCGAGTGGTGTCTAAAGTTGTGGCCGTCTTCAGTATAGTATGGTATAGTATAGTATAGTATAGTATAGTATAGTATAGTATAGTATAGTATAGTATAGTATAGTATAGTATAGAATTGTATTGTATTGTATTGTATTATATTGTATAGTGTAGTATAATGAAATTGAGTAGGCTGGAGTAGGGTGGAGTAGGGTTGGATTAGAGTTGAATGGAGTGGAATTAAGTGGAATGGATTAGAGTGAAATTGGGCCGGGAGTTGATGTAAACTGGAATGCAATGGTATCCTCAAGCCTAGTCATTTGATTGTGTAGGACAACTCAACCATCCCCCTCACCTCACCTTCATTGACCCGGCCTGACCAATTTCTTATGTGATCCACTTTTGTCTTGTTTCCCCCACTCAGATCACTCGCGCCCAAGCGCCGGAGGAGGTCGTGTGTGAAGACGGTCTCCGGAGCAGTCGCCCCTGCACAACCAGTAAGTCTGTCATTTCACATTTCGTCCAAGTAAAAGCACCGTCGGCCAACTGTCGAGCACGACTGGGTCGAACGGTTGTTGGGAAAAGCTGTGTGTGTGTGTGTGTGTGTGTGTGTGTGTGTTAAGTAATGATATCAGCTTGAAG